ACAATTTCATAACCACATATGAAACAAATTCATCAAAAAAAGTATTATATGAAACAATTTCACAAGATTAACAATTTCATGAAAAAATTTCATAAGATAAACGACGGATGATAGTAGTTTTTACGGTTTTTACAAATTGGAGTGGTTTTCATTTGATCGCTCATATATATATATATATATATATATATATATATATATAACTATTAGAAGTTTAGTAATTTGACAACTTTAACCCCTCAACAATCATTGATGGATATTTACATAAGATACAATTTGGATAAGTTAATGAGTAAATTTTTAAAACTCAGGTCTTATACTTAATACCTCTGAAGTCTGATTCGTTCAGACGTTTGAGTATTAAGAGCAGTTTTTTTTAAATAAGAGCTTAAAAGCTCTAAATGTTTTCGGAAATTTTAAGTTGTAAATGTATCATTTAATGCCACTTAATCCTACTCCGACCTCTATCACATGATTCATGTTTTGGGGGTTGGAAAAGATTCGTTAGCAAAAACTATTCATCTTTTATACTTTTGTAAAAACTATTTATGTTATATTTTGGCACTAGTTTGACCGATTTAGATTTCAGATTTCAGACGTAAAAACAAACAATCTTACTGATCAATATTTCAGATTTCAGACTTCAGGACCACCTCTTATAAATCAGAAGTGAAATTAGACTTCAGACTTCAACACCTCTTAAAAAACAAGCGCTACCTTACTAAGTACTGACGGTTTATCGACACACCACCTCCCATGTGCTCATAGCTCCGCCTCAAGAGTCATCATGACTAAATTAATAATTAGATTGAACTTTCGTAGATACAATCAGACTATTGTCAACCGACCCTCATGGAAACGTTTGAGATGATCTATAAGACTAAATAGTAGGGATTGAGGTAGGGATGGAAATGGGGTGGGGATGGGGCAGGGATCCAATTCCCATTCCCGTCCCCAATCCCAATTTCTATCTTTGTCCCCATCAGGAATATCATCACATCCTCATCTCCGTCACCAACATAGAATGGGGATCCCCAAGGGGAATCGGGGATTTTTTCACCGTTAATATAAGATATTTTAAATCAAATATGTTAAACAACACACTCGATCGATAATGATTTATGCTTAAATCTCACATATTTTCAAAATTGCTCTTATAGAGTGTCAAATATTCATATGTGAACAAAATCACAACATCATACGTAATTGTTTGATCAAATGCTTTCGACTTTCAACATTTTTTATCTAAAAAATGTATATAAGAAGAAATGTCAAAATACTATTTCTAAATTTAAAAGATATTAAATCTAATTTATTATAAATAATATATTTAATAATAAGATTATACAACATATTTAATATTCGGCATCATGTTACCCGACGTCGTCCCCATCCCTGGATTTTAACTTTCGGGGACCCGGTCCCCATCCCCGGTTTTTCGGGGATTCCCGTCCCTATCGAGGAGGATACACCGGATTCCCCAATGGGACAGGGCTCATTCTCATGCTTAGAGTGGGGAGTCGGGGACCAGACAATTTGTTAACCAAGGGTTGAACAATTTATGATCTATAATTACTCTTTTATTAGTTTGCTAGACGAATACTAATTTGAATACTTGTATAGTTTTGGATTAGAACATGTTACGTAAACTACAAATTAGTTGGTTGGCTGGAATTGTGATTGTTATTTATTATGTTAATTGTTAATACCAGGTTGTGTCATGGATGGAAATGTTCAAATGCTGCCGAATTTAACCAACCAACTTTTAATTCGTAATCGTGTATCTATTTCCATGATATGATCGAGAAGTACATGATACCCATCCACTTGGAGATGTCAATGTACGAGAGCGTTATGTGGAATGGAGGAAAAACCGGCAGATGTTTGATGTGAGTACTTGCGGGGATCTGAACCATGTGCTAACGGGTTCGTAACACACGTCAAGTATTGATAACCGCTTAATTTTCAACTAATAATGGTTTTAGGGTGTAATTATATAGATGTACAGTGTTTCCTAGCCGTCCATGACATCTGATTCATAGTGCAAGAAAACAAAAGTTAAATAGAATAAGCACATTGAAAATGAAAGCTTACCAGCAACAGCAGATTGAAAACCGATAGAATGTTAAATTAATTAATAGCCTTGAAAATGAAACATCTTATTACAAAATTCAGATAGCCGACTAACAAGAGTATCTTGTTATAATCATCTCTATTCTTGTTTAATTTTCTCATGAAATTTGTCACTTATATAAACAAAGTCGGGTTTATAAGATACTAGGGTATAATTTCTTTTTTAAGAGATGATGCTTATAAATTGATAAACGTCTGAATTTGTTTAAATTGTCTATTTTACCCATTAAAAAATATAGTGTTGAATTTATAAATAAATTTATACGATTTCACATATATATATATATATATATACATATTCATCTAAATCATATAATTATCATTCATTTAAACGTAAATATGTTATATGTAATTAACGGTATTTAACACATTTAAATCTTATTAAAATACATCAATTGAGAGAGGTGATGACTGATTTGCTAATAATCGAATAAGGTTGATCGTTTGAGAAACGACGTTGTTGAGGGCCTGAAGAACATTAAAAAAACAAATTAGAGGTTGATTACCTCTTACTAGATAAGAAGACAATAAGACATGAATGACTCTGAAAAATCGTCCGCCCTGCACCCACCACCCGAGTATGTGCTTCAACAACACAAACAATCTAAATGGCCTTACCTCTTAACAAATCAAACATAAAAGCCCGATAAGAGCTTTTTTATATTAAAAAAAAAAACAAGACCTAAATATGTTTAAATGTCATAATAAATTGTTTTACAAGACTTAAGTTTATGAAACCAACACGTGTGCGTAATATGATTATAGGACATTTTATTTATTAACAAGTTATATATGACAATTTTTTTGACATAATGCGTCATCAATATTTTTTTTATATAACATTATTTAAAAACGTTTTATAAAAACAAGCGTCATATGAAAAGATCTGTTCATAGAAACTTTTTTAAAGTATCGTATAAAAAAAACTAATACGACATTTTGTTTTAAAAAGATCCTAAAAACTTATTAGAGATTTAATTTGGAGTTGATTTTTTTTACTTTAGGGTTAATTTGTAATCTAGTGTCTGGTCTCGCTAGGTTCCGCTTCTATAAATTTCGTTCCTTGTTGTTCAAGAAAAAAAATTGTTAACGATGAACCAACTCCGTAGATTAATTTAGGGTTAACTTAGACTTTAGGATTAACTTGTTTATATTTGAAATTAATATCTTGAATCTCGATTTAATCATGCATATAGATTAATTAGAAGGGTACTCGTGCAATGCATCGAGACATATTTCGGTTTCAATGTTTCGTTTTATTTTTTTTATCTATGTCGATATAATACGATTTTATGTGGTTTTAAAAAAACGATAATATTTTTATTTTTTTGAATAAAATATAAATTTAAAAATATCATATAAAATTTACAAAAAATATATTAATGTTAGTATCAAATTAACTATTTAAAAGTTCTTATTTGTGTATTTTTTTTTAATTTAAATTTTTTATTATAATTTAATTTATCGTAACGAAGTAACTTAATTTAGGTTTAATGATATTTTTTTTATAAAGATAATATTAAGTATTCTGTCAGACTCAATAGTTATCCTAATCATATTTTAGATTTTTTATATTTTAAAATGAGATGTTTATCCTATATTTAATTATGTTTATCCGCAGTTAGTTACACGAATTCAAACATAGAGCTTTAATAAGTTGTACTTATGCACAATTTACTTATAATCTTGAATTTTAAATAATATGCATCAATAAACAATATTTCGTGCATAAAAAATGGTTTTTAAGAGTTTTTGTCAAATGCTTTATCTATACTATATTATAAAGCATTTAACAAAAACTCTTAAAAACAATTTTTTATACATAAAATAATATTTATTGATGCATATTACTTAAAAATTTAAGATTACAAGTAGATAATGTATGAGTACATCTTATTAAAACTCTATATTTGAATTCGTATAACTAACTGCAGATAAACATAATCAAATACATGATAAACATCATTTTAAATATAAAAAAGCTAAAATATAATAAGATAATCATTGAGTTCTAACAAAATACTTCATTATTATCTTAAAAAATTATTTTATCAACTCAAAAATAAATTAGTTTGTTATTGAACTTCAACTAAATTATAATAAAAAATTAGATTAATTAAATTACACAAAAACGAACTTTTAAGTAGTTAATTTTATACTAATATCCCTTTCTTTTTCAAAATTTTATAACATTTTCAAATTTATATTTTATTTAAAAATAAAAACATTTTTCTTCTTTTCAAAACCATATGAAATCGATTATAACATCGATAGAGCCAAAATATAAAAAAAAACATTAAAATCAAAATATATTTCGCTGCATTGTGCGAGTATCCTTTTAGTAATGTGATATAGATAAGTAGAAAATTGGAATTACACCAACAATCGACTAGTTTAGGGTATAACTTTTTTATTAATTTTTTAATAAATTAAATATTTAATGGATCCAAAAACGCATGTAGCAATTTTATAAACAATTTATGATTTTTCTATATGAGGATGATTACCAATTAATTTGAGTTTGTACTCTAAAAGTCAAAAGTATTTGGAGGTTCCAGGTTTATAAATCTAAAAAGGAATAAAAATCCTCTTGTAATCATGGAGATTTAAATTCGATGACTCCGAACTACCCGCAAAACAGGTGGTTACTATGAAAGCAGTCGGTTCGTATAACGAAATGGATATTCAGTTAAATAAAAAGAAAAAACACTCTAGTTTTTAAGTTTCTATAAATTATTGGTTTTGTAGAAGAAAGGAACTTGTTGGTTCTTGATATTTTAGCCCAGAAGCCACTTCATTCTGGTTAACCATAAAGATTTCTTTCCATGAAGAACTTGTGCTATATCCTCGTACTTTCTCTCTTCCTATACATGATTACCAAACATTTCCTTCATAAGTTTCGTAAATTCCCACCTCGGCCGTTTTTCTCCTTACCCGTAATCGGCCATCTTTATCTCTTGAAGCAACCGCTGCATCGAACCCTAGCCAAGATTTCGAACCAGTATGGTCCTGTTGTGTTTCTTGAGCTTGGTTCACGCCCGGTGCTCCTGGTCTCGTCTCCGGCTGCAGCCAAGGACTGCTTTACCACAAACGATTTGATTTTCGCAAATCGGCCGAAATTGCTCGCTGGGAAACACCTTGGCTACAACTACACAACTCTTACTTGGGCCTCATATGGACACCACTGGCGAAACTTAAGACGAATTGCTTCCCTCGAGATTTTATCGACTAATCGTATTCAGAAGTTTACGGATGTCCATCGTAATGAGATCATCTCTCTAGTTCGTACCTTAAATGAGAGATCTCAAAAGGATGGATTTGTGATTGTGGATATGAAGTCGTGTTTTTTTAAGGTGACGTTGAATATGATTATGATGATGATCACCGGAAGGAGATGTTACGGTGAGAATATGGAAGAACCGGTGGCCGGAAAGTTGCAGGAAATGGTGGAGGAAACTTTCCGGTTGAGTGGTGGTACGTCGAATATTGGAGATTTTGTGCCGATGGCAACGTGGGTTGGGTTCAATTCGATGGAGAAGAAGATGGAAAAACTGAACCGAAAGAAGGATTCCACGATGCAAGAGATGATTGAAGGGCATAGGAGAATGAGGAGTGATTCTTGTTTTGAAGAAGGTGAAACCATCGTTGATGTTCTCTTATCCCTGCAAGAAACGGAACCTGAATACTATACCGATGGAATCATTAGAGGCTTGATTCTTGTAAGTTTTCTCAATTTTTTACAACAAAATCAGATTTATAAGAAATCATAAATCTAAGTGTCATAATAAACTGTTTTATAAGACTTAAGTTTATAAGATTAAAAGATACGTGTAAATGTATTTTTACAGGACACTTGTTTTCACAAGACGCTTTAATTTTTCAAATAACTTCATATAAAAAATTAAACTAATAATTACGACGTTTTATTCCAAAAATATTCTAAAAAATTGTTAGAACGCCCAAGAAACATTCTATCAACTTATTTTAACACCTTTATCATATGACCTACAATTACGTCCTATAAAAGAGTTTATGATAATAATTTACATATATGACATTCTATAAATCCGATTTTGTCGTAGTGTACTAATTAATATCGGATCACAAGTATGTCTACGCTAACCAAATTTTATCGAATTTTAACGCTCAGGTTATGATATCAGCCGGCACCGATACATCAGCAGGAACACTAGAGTGGGCTTTATCACTTCTACTGAACCACCCCGATTCCCTCAAAACAACCATCAGTGAAATCGACAATGAAGTGGGTTCGTCAAGAATTATGAACCATTCCGATCTTTCTAATCTTTGTTATCTTCATGGAGTTATAAACGAAACACTTCGAATGTGCCCAGCAGCATCACTGATTCCACCACATRAATCCACAGAAGAATGCACCGTGGGCGGTTTTCGTGTTCCAGCACGAACTATGCTTTTGGTGAACCTTTGGGCCATTCAAAACGATCCAAAGTTATGGAAGGAGGCCGAGAGATTTAAGCCGGAAAGGTGGATTGAGGTAGAAGCGCAGAGAGATGGATTTAAGTTTATGCCATTTGGGTCGGGTCGAAGAGGGTGTCCTGGAGAAGGTTTGGCGATGCGAATGGTTGGATTAAGTCTAGGAATGTTGCTTCAATGTTTTGAGTGGGAGAGAATTGGTGTGGAGAAGGTGGATATGAGCGAAGGGTTCGGTCTCACGATGCCGAAAGCCCGCCCTTTGCTTGCTAAATACAGGCCACGACCGCATATTGTGGATCTTCTTTCTCGCATATAGTAACATCTCTCGGTAAGAAAATCCGAGCTATCTATATCACATGTATTAAAAATCACGTATGAACAAGGGATCAGTCAACTCAGGGGTGCCGCGTTTGGCCCCATGACCTTGGAGGTTTGCGGTTTGCGGTTTGGTAATCATATATGATTTTTAATATAAAATCACATGTGATATAAGTGTTTTGGTATTCTCTTGCTATGTTCTGGTTAAACCTTCTTATATATATATATATATATATATATATATATATGTGTGTGTGTGTGCGTGCGCGCGCATGTTTGTTTAGAGGGTTGGGTTACGTGAGACCAACCTGTTTTCGAAGACCCGTGGAATTAGAGGAATTATCGATGAAAGTGTTAATTACTTACGAAGATCGACTGGATAACCTTCTATTGATAGAGTGGTGGGTGTTATTGTCTTGTACTTCCAGGCGGTTTTTCTTTTGGGCAGTTGTTCAATTATCTTACTTTAGTTTTAACTAAATTATAATATGGATGGATATACAAAACTTGATTGAATTCATTCACCTAGCCCTAATATTCTTAGTAACTCGCCACACCTCTACGTTCCATCGTCACTCCTCAATGGTTAGATTTTCACTACAACAAAAATGATTTTATAGGACGCTTAAAATGTAGAAGCATCCTAAGAAAGTACTTTACAAGACTTATGTTTATATGATCAAACAAAAAGTGTCTTATCTAAAATTATTACAATAGGTTTATAGAACGCTTTTAGACGTTTTAACATGTTTTTAAAGACATTTTTAAAATAAAGTGTCATATTAACTATTTTATACGACACTATTTGAAAAAAATGTCCTATAAACACAAGTATCCTATCAAAAAATGAGTTTATAGGACAATTCTCAAATATGAAATATCTAACATGACATTTTACTTTAAAAACGTCCTATAAAACATGCTAAAATGCCTAAAAACGTCCTATAAACCTATTGTAACACTTTTGGATAAGACACTTTATAATTTGATCCTATAAACCTAAGTTCTATAAAATATTCAATTAAGACGCTTAAACAATTTAGACGTACTATAAAGCTATTCTTGTTGTAGTGTGTACTAGATTACTAATATATATTTGTATATACTATGTAAAATTTATTTGAAAATGCTTGTATTGGCAGGCCTGACCCTGTCCCATGGCTGTCATGGCAATGGCCATGGGCAGCAAGGCTAAAGGGCCTCACAAGCCTAGCTCCTGTTTAGGTATAGTAGGTTTCTCTTAGGCTCAAAAGAGAAAACGATCATTAATAAGTTTATCGGCTAACTGTTAAGGCCTAAATCAGTCAATCGATTCGTTCTCACCTTTCATTACCCTCTCAATCGAATTCGCATATGCCAATCAACACACACTCTAGTCCCTAAATGAATCTGCTCGGTTGCTTCTAATTCCTAAATCGATATGCATCTATCACTATTTGAAAAGGCTTGCCACAATAGCCGCTATAGCGCATCGTGGCTCAAGGTTTGTGTCTCACACCATGTTAAGCCTAAGGCACGCCATAGCGTAATGCATGATTTTTGTAACACGACATTTGATTTTTTTTATCTTTTTAATATCTTATTTGTTAGTTTTTAATATATAACTTAATTTAAATTGTTTATTACCATTGAGTAATAGTAGAAAATATATATAATATTATATATGATATAGAGATTTACCGACATAAGTCACAACTCGAAATATGTCGTGACCTCCTTGTGGCTTTCAAGGCTTGAGGCGTGAGCTATTTAGAACATTGGCATTTATTCCCCTCTTGCGTCTCGGCTGAAGGTTGTCAACCGGCTGCTCCTAATTCCTAAATGGATATGCTCGGCATGTTGTCCTGCCCCTAACGCCCTAATCAATATGTTCCTAGAATCTAAGTGACTAAGGGTCCATTTACACAAACATTTACCTAGTAAGCGCTTACTGATAAAATTCAGCACTATCACTTACTTATCAAGTAAGACTTTAATCCGCTAAAACGACATTGTATGCAACAACTTACCCGGTAAGCGCTAACCATGGTAAGAGTCGCCGCCCTCACTTACCGGGTAAGATTCTCGGTCCTTACTTTTGCTCTTACCAGGTAAGATTTTTGGTCCTTTCCATTTCCATCCGGTAAAATAATGTGACTTGGTAAGCCCTTACCCAGATAAGCGATTGGTAAACGGCCCATAAGTCGCTAATTGTTCTCATATATGAAGTCACCGAATCAGGTGTGGAGGCTGTGGACTATGGTCTTGTGGAGTGTGGAGACCGGAGAGTTTCAGTGTTCTGATCTTCAATTCGTCTATGAAATCTTAGAATCTGCATATTTATTTTCTATTAGAATCAATATTCTATTTCTTTCTTCCTTAATAATAAAAAAGGATAGAGAAAATCAAATCTTGCATTCTTTTTTCTCATTGGATCACTTGTTTAGATGACAACAGGAAGTAGAAATATTGTAATTATGAACTGTTATAATTTAGAAATAACTCAAATAAGAGAAGACATTAACCATTGTTGTGAATATTCATTGTATTCTTGTTATAATTTAGAGTTTAAACATTTAGTTTGCAACCATTTATTGATGGATATTATCTTAGAAACTTAGTTGAAAATGGAGTTTCTGTTTGCTGCTAACATTATGATCTTACTAATTGATTTGTGTAATTCTTGTCAAGGCGTTGTTCTATATGACATATTATATGTTATGTTATACGGGTTCTGGTTTATGTCCCCAGACATTGGATCGAAACATATATGGATAGAACCTATAACGGGGGCTCGAGGGATGCATGTGCCCATAATATATCATTTTTGTTACATTTAATGAAAATCGGTGTGAGGATGAACCACATAGTTTGACTAGGTTCCAAACCCCTTTAAATAGTTTATTTTGTATTTTATATACATAATATTAGGGGCATGTTGTGGCTTTTCGCCATGGACATCTAAAACCTCAGGATCGGCCATGTGTATAAGTAGGAATAAGTGATATAATACATATCAACATGCTATTTGAATGCTCAATAATTTTAATGCATCTAGATCTTGTTGGACCTGTGCTGTGCAGATGGTTCAACAATGTACAAGTCAATTATGCTTTCATTTATGCTTTGATCAATAAAGACCTGTTCTTCAGCTTCTCTGATGACCACGTCTG